TCGCCGTCGTCGTCGTCGTCGTCGTCGTCGTCGTCGTCGTCGTCGTCGTCGTCGTCATGGGGCGTTCGTTGTCGTTGTCGCCATTGTCGTCGCCGCTCTTGTCGTCGTCGCAGCCGTCGCCGCCGCCGCCGTCGGACGTCGTCGTCGTCGTCGTCATCGTCGTCGGCGTCGTACGCCACCCCGGCGTCGTCGTTTCGTTGTCTTCGTCGTCGTCAGTCGTCGTCGTCGTCGTCGTCGTCAGTGTCGTCGTTGTCGTCGTCGGCGGACGTCGTCGTCGTCGTCGTCGTCGGTCGTCGTCGTCGGCGTGGTCGTCGTCGTCGTCGTCGTCGTCGTCGTCGTCGTCGTCAGTCGTCGTCGTCGTCGTCGTCGACGTTGTCGTCGCGGTCGTCGTCAGTCGTCGTCTTTGTCGTCGTCGTCGGCGTCGTCGTCTTCATCGGTCGTCGTAGTCGTCGTCATCGTCGTTGTCAGTCGTCGTCGTCGTCGTCGTCGTCGTCGTCGTCGTCGTCGGCCGTCCGTTGTCGTCGTCGCAGTTGTCGTCGTCGCTGTTGTCGTCGTCGCCGACGTCTCCGTCGCCGCCGTCGGACGTCGTCGTCGTCGTCGTCGTCGTCGTACGCCGCCGCCGCGTCGTCGTTTTCCTGTCTTCGTCGTCGTCAGTCGTCGTCCTTGTGGTCAGTGTCGTCGTTGTCGTCGTCGGTCGTCCGTTGTCGTCGTCGTCGTCGGTCGTCGGTCGTCGGTCGTCGTCGTCGTCGACGTCGTCGTGGTCGTCGTCAGTCGTCGTCGTCATCGTCGTCGTCGTCGTCGGCGTCGTCGTCGTCGTCGTCGTCGTCGTCGTCATCGGTTGTCCGTTGTCGTCGTCACCGTTATCGTCGTCGTCGCTGTTGTCGTCGGCGCCGCTGTCGCCGCCGCCGCCATCGGTCGTCGTCGTCGTCGTACACCGCCGCCGCGTTGTCGTTGTCCTTGTCTTCGTCGTCGTCAGTCGACGCCGTCACCACCGCCGCCGTCGCCGTCGTCGTCGTCAGTCGTCTGTCGTCGTCGTCGTCGTCGTCGTCGCCGCCGCCGCCGCCGCCGCCGTCGTCATCGTGCTCGTCGTCCTCGTCGTCGTCATCGTCGTCGTCGTCGTCGGTCTTCCGTTGTCGAAGCCGCTGTTGTCGTCGTCGCCGCCAGCCGTCGGATGACGTCATCGTCGTCGTCGTCGTCGTCGTCGTCGTCGTCGTCGTCGTCAGTGTCGTCGTGGTCGTCGTCGTCGGCGTCATCGTCGTTCTCGTCGTCCTCGTCGTCGTCATCGTCGCCGTCGTCGTCGTCATCGTCGTCGTCGTCGTCGTCGTCGTCGTCGTCGTCGTCAATCGTCGTCGTCGTCGTCAGTCGTCGTCGTCGTCGCCGTCGTCATCGGTCGTCCGTTGTCGTCGTCGCCGTTATCGTCGTCGCCGCCAGCCGTCGGACGTCGTCGTCACCGTACGCCGCCGCCGCGTCGTCGTTGTCGTCGTTTTGGGGTTTCGAAGAATCCCTCCCGCTTTATCAGAAGCCTTCCTGGAAGCCTCTGGGCCCTTCTCAGAAGCACCCTGTTTTCAAAGAGAGCTCCCCCCCCTCGCCCCACTCCCCCCAGCGCGCCGCCGCAAGAAAAATACGCTTCTACCAAGTTCCTCTCAAAAGGCAACACGCTGGCTGAGTCGTGCTGGTTCCCAACTCCCTGGGGAAGAATGGGCGGGACTGGGCGGCATGCGCAGGGGATGGGGCGGGGGGGGGGCGGGCGAGAGAGGTCTGGCGCGGGCTGAGACCAGAGCAGATAAGAAGGGCCTGGAGGAGGGCACGGAGGAAAATGGTCGAAGGGAGACCACTTGAGACAACGGAGTCTCTCCCTAGAACAAGAAAAAACGCCATAAACATAAACTTTTGGCGCTCCGCGCGGATTTCTTGGATCTACGCTGGACCCTCCTCCCTGGCGCGCGGAGCGCGCCAGGGGCGGCGCCGAAGGCGCCGCCAGGGGGACCCAGCGCGGATCCAAGAAATCCGCGCGGAGCGCCAAAAGCTTATGTTTATGGCGTTTTGTCTTCTTCGACTCTTGCGTGGTTCACATTCGCACGAAATCGGTGCCGGGACCCCTCCTGGGGTCCATCCCGACTCGTTCTTCGAGGCTGATCCCGCCGCGGCGACGAGGAAGCCTCCAGGAGGTCCTACGAGAAGACGAAACGCGCCAGGGAGGGCCGCCGCTATCTCGACTGGCCCTCCTCCGAGATGGGGGAGAGGCGACGGTTATCGAACGTAGAGCGGCATAGCATGCACTTTCCCACCAGCGGAGAGGCCGGTCCCCGGCGCGGCTGTAACGCTTATACCTCTGCGGTGGCACTCCAAGGCGTAACCTTTCGAGCCGCTCCGGGGCAGGTGTCCTTGATGGTGGAAAGATGTATTTTATACCGTTTTTCGTCCGCAGTTGACCTTATGCACTGTGGTTTTCACAACGTCGACCGCCAAAAGTCTCGACCCACTCCCCGGGACTGGGCTTTGATCCCGAGCCGTTTTTTGACGGCCCTGGGGCCCGGTGAGGGTCCCAAAGGCCGAACATGGCAGCAGACCGTCCGTCGTACTTTCTTCACGACGCCAGGGGGTCTGGACCCCGAACCAAACTTAGCTGCGCCGACACGCAACAGGCACCCCGTCGTAGCGTGGTGACCCGGAGCCCAACACGCAGACTGAAAGCGTAGGTCTGGCGCGATACGCTCGCAAAAACTTGGGTCAACACGTGGGCGATATCGGAAAACCTGAGCCAAAAACGTTTTCATCTCTTAGGGCCGCATTTTTTACTTCCGCCGCCTTCCGCCGGCGGAGGCGGCCTCGCTTTACTTCTGCCGAGCTTCCGCCGCCTTCCGCCGCGGAAGAGATGACAACTCCTTCGATCCTCGAAGACAAGGCCCTTTCTGGAACGCCCCACGTGGAGCCAACACGCAGCGTGTTAACACAGATGCTTTGGACACGGTACGTGCTGCGTTTCAAAACTGGGGGGGGGGCGCTGCGTCATGGGGGCCCCCGAGAGGGGGAGAGCGGCCAGCAGCCCTCCGTCGCGTGCCTTGTGTTGCCGCGGCGAGAGGAGGAGGAGGAGGAGGAGGAGGAGGAGGAGGAGGAGGAAGAGGAGGAGGAGGAGGAGGAGGAGGAGGAGGAGGAGGAGGAGGAGGAGGAGGAGGAGGAGGAGGATGAGGAGGATGAGGAGGAGGAGGAGGAGGAGGAGGAGGAGGAGGAGGAGAGGAGGAGGAGGAGGAGGGGAGGAGGAGGAGGAGGAGGGGAGGAGGGGAGGAGGAGGAGGGAGGAGGAGGATGAAGAGGGCCTCCAGTACCGTCTCTGACGGCCCGCTCCACAGGAAGTTGAGCAGCACCAGCGCGGGCGGGAACGCCAGGAGCCTCAGGCTCGGATGGCAGGGCCAGCCGCCCCGCCCAGGGGCCCCTGCTGCTGAAGCCCTTGCTGTCGGGAACTCTTGCTTTGCGTGTCGCCGCGGCGGCCCCGGCGACATGCCCTGCAAGCGGATGGCGTGTCGCTCCGCTCCACGGGGCGGGAGGCGCGGGAGAGCTCTGGACGTTGACGCCTCGGGACCGCGAAGCGGATGGCGTGCCGCGCCGAAGCGTGGTGGGCCAGAACCGGCGGAGGGACACGCTATCCTCAAGTTCCTGACCGTATCGACAGGGCCGTGCGGTGCAGAGCAGGGCAGATGACCCCGTGATCTGGGCGTGGCACCTCTCGCACACCGGGCGTTCTTGTTCGGCTTCGGGCACCAGGGCCAGCACATATCGTTCCTCGAGAAGTGGTCGATCCGCTTCGACAGGGCTCTGGTCGCGTTTTCTTCGCGATGTCGCGCGTTTTTCGCAACGTAGGATCTCGGGGGATGGGGAGAAGGGGATAGTGCGGTCAAGGTGCTGCCATAATGAACGCTGGATCAGGAGCGAAGCTTCTGTTCGGTCCCACGTGCGCCTGAGTGCAGAAGGAGCGCCAGAGGAACAGCCATGGAAGGACCCAAGGGACAGTGAGCTCACTTTGAACCCAAGCTGTTCCTTACTTCAGCATCTTGAGTGTAAGGAGGGGGGGGCTGGAGTAAGAACATGCCGATGCGGTCTGCAAGTGTGAGTGGAGTTCTGGGGCTGTCGTCGCAGGGTGGTCCTGGGAGACGCTTCTCCACTTCAAGCTCTCACCCCCTCTTCCTGCGGCCACCTGGCGATCTCCAAGCTCGCCAACGCGAGCTGAATCGACCCAGGTCGTGATCGAGTCGATGGGGAGCCCCTTCCCTTTCCCTTCCTCGCGAGGAGGGGGGGCCCACTTTGTCTGTGGGTTTGCGCTCTGCCCTGCAGCACCAGTTTTTTATATCCTGGGTCGCCAGTGCGCGTATCTTGAAGTATCGTTCAGCCATGCTGCTTCACTGGGAAGTCAATGACCTGCCTACCTACCTCGCATCCTCCCTGCCCAGCTCCTCCCTCCCTCGGAGGAGGAGGAGGAGGAGAAGGAGGAGAAGGAGCTGCTTTCTCCCTCCCGCCCTCCCGCCCTTTTCCCCTCCCCCTCCCCCCGCGCCCTTCCTCAGCGAGGCTCGGCGCCGCGGCGCGCCCCTGTCAAATCACACGCGCCGTTCTTGGAGGCCGCCGGGGGTCTGAGCTGGCTGGGACGCCAGAGGATCAATCAGGAGGGGGAAGACGAGGCCAACTTCGTCCAAAATCGGTCCCTGGACCCCTCCCGGGGTCCATCTGGTGCAAATTCTCACCCCGGATCCGTTTCGGACGGTCCCGTGTCCCGAAAACGGCCGCCCGATGCTGAAAAAGGGCGGAAAGCTTTCCCGAACCTAGAACCTTGAACCTGCCCGCCCTTCCTGCTGGCCAGAGCCAGTGCTGGGCCACCTCAGACCCCCCAGCGGCTCCAAGCTCCCCCCCTTCGCCCAAGTGAGCCATCCGGCCGATCGGAACATCATCCGACGGGCCCCCTTCCAGCGGCGGCCGCCAATCGCCCCGCGCGGCGCGGCGGTCCCTTGAGCTAATGGGCGCGTTGGAAGGAGAGCATGTGGTGGCGATGGTGATTCCCCGCCTGAAGCTTCGGACGAAGACGACGATGACGACTACGATGACGACGACAGCGACGACGATGATGATGGTGGTGATGGTGGTGATGGTGATAGTGATGATGATGGTGATGATGATGGTGATGCTGATGGTGATGATGGTGAGGGCAGGATGAAGGATCAACGGTGGGGGGAGGGAGGACGGGAGGAGGGGGTGGTGGTTGGAAGGCTGGGCAGGAGGGGAACGACAAAACGGCGGGCGGATTCCGCGGGCTCGGCGGACGGCGGGAACCCTCCGGACTGCGAGGGGGACCCCTCCGCCCAGTAGTGTCTACAGCAAAACCTCTCCAGCCGAATGTTGGCTCGAACCAGAAGCGCTGCGGCCGATTGTGTGCTCCAAAAAAATCAGCTGAACATTTTTGTGTTTGTTTTCGAAGAACGGAGGGCAACGAACGATCTGCTGGATGGTCTTGTTTTTGGGCAAGCCATGCCGGGCCGTTGATCTGCTCTCGTTACATCTTGTGGTTTGCACAACACCCCGGCAGAAGGGTTTTCAGAAGTACTCATTCGGCCGACGGTCCTTCTCACAAAAACCAGCCCGCCATATTCTTATCCAAACAAGCCATCGCCCAGACAAGGTTTTCTGGACAAAAACCGTCCAGAGGGTAGGAGGACATCCCTCCGCCCGCACACCAGCACAACACCTCATCCGTCGGAGCGGCGTTGCCCCCAAAAAAACACCATCCAACCGAGGATTTTGTCAGAACCGACCTCTTTGCTCGAATTGTTCTTTGCTGGGGGAACACCAGGCCCGATCGTTTCCTCATGAAAACTTCAATCCAGCTAGACTTTTTGTTGAACCGCCCCTCGGCTGGCAGGGGCTTCTAAAGAAGCCAGTCTGGTCGAGGGTTTCTTTCACATTACCTCGTCCCTCCTCCGAAGAAGGATGGGGAATTCTTGACATGGGGTCAAGTGACAGGGGACGTCGGCACGAGCACCGAAGGGTGTTGCGCTCGAAGCCCACGTGTAATGAACCCCGAACAGAAGTGCCCCGCAATGAGAGGCCGAGGCGACGACGATAACTCCAAGCTTGCCTGGCATGAGCCCCGAAAGGGTTCTGCGCGTAGAGGAGCGGCGAGAAGCGTGGGACGACGCCCCCAGGCCGCCATCCCGGACGCCTCTCTTGACCTCCGCGGCCTCACCACACAAGCCTCCGGGGCAGCTGCACTCTGCACCTGTGGGACATACAGAGAGAGAGAGAGAGAGAGAGATAGAGAGGGAAAGAGAGAGAGAGAGAGAGAGAGAGAGAGATAAAGAGAGCTGCTTCCAGCACCAAAACACAAGGCTCCGCGCCGAGCCCGCGCCCGAACAAGCGCTGGGCGCCCTGCGCCCGCCGCGCCGGGGAGAGGACGGGGCACCGCGCCAGCCGCGCGCCCAGGCCGCGCACTCCTCCGCGGCGGCGCGTGCGGGATCTCCCCCCTTCCCTCGGCGACGCGCAAGAGCGACCCTACAGGGCAGGTTTTAATACATGTTTTTGTTTGTTTGTTTGTTTGTTTGTTTGTTTGTTTGTTTGTTTGTTTGATTTCTGTTTTAAACATATGATTTTTAATACATGCTTTACGTACTAATAAATCAATGCATGAACTCATCGTTGTTTTTCATAAAAAACCCTAGCATATTTAATACATGGTCCGCACGCGGAGCATGTATGAAAAACGGCACTGTAGGCAAGAGAGGCCCTTGGGGCGCGGACGAAGGGGGCGCAGAGCGGCCAGGTCCAAGCTTGCAGGCGGCCGCTGACGCATCGCGCTCAGCGGTCGGGGGGGTTTTCGATGAGCCGCCCCATAGGCCACTCCGGCGTAGGGTCACTCTCATGTGTACGCGATTCCCTGGGTGTGGCCGTGGCGCCGCCCCGCGCCCGCTGCCAGGGGTGCAAGACTGGCTGGCCGCCCCGGCCGCTCCGCGGCACCGACGGCCATGTGAGCGCCCTCCCCTCCCCTCCTCCCGCCCCGCGGCCGCTTCCGCCTGCCATTTCCTCCTCCTGCCGCTGGTTGATTCGCGCTTTCCGTTGCCCGGGCCACTCGAGCGCGCGTGCGGGCTGCCTCTGTCGCGCTGCGACGCAAGAAAGAAGAAACATGTACTCGATGCCCTGTCAGCCCCGTCTGCTCGGCTCTCCCTGCCTGCATCTGGAGCAGACGAGAAGAGCCAAAAACGCGGACGCAGCCTCGGCCGGGGCCGCCTGCCATACCCCGGAGCTTCTCCCCGTGCCTCTCCCGACGAGGGGGGGGCGCCTCGGCGCGCCTGCCCCGTGCGCACTGGAGCAGGCGAGGCAGAAAGACGTGGGCGCAGCCTCTGCAGGGATCGCCCGCCACGCCCCGGAGCTCCCCCGGCCTGGGGCGTCTCGGTGCGCCTGGCCCCTGCGCAGGTCTCGCGCAGGTCCCGCGCGCGGCTCCCGCGGTACGCGGCACGCCCTTGGGGTCGACCGGCGCGCCTGGGACCGTGCACTGCAGCGCAAGCACCCCCCCCCAATCACCCAAACATCAATATTCCGTGGGTGCGGCAACGGAGAGGGCATGGATGGACAGACATACTCGACACCGCCCAGAAGGAACATCCCCCTCTAAAGTGTGAGGGGTTCAATATTCTGCCCATGTACTCTGGATGGGGCAATAATCGCCCCCCCTTGGATCCACTGGGGGGGTTGGGCACGTGCTGTCAGAATGGGCGGCGGGGAGGTTGGAGGAAGAGGAGGAGGATCAGGAGGAGAGGCGGATGGAGGTGGGCGAGATTGGGCAGGCTCAGTCAAAAGGTTAATCACCCCGCCTTGATAAATTCGCTGGCCCAACGGGCCAAGGGCGTGCTGAGATCTCCGGTAACTGGTTAACAATATTTCTAGCTCGCGCGAGCGGGGCCGCCCCTGGGGGCCCCCGGACGAGAAGTACCCCGGCAAGGTCCCGGCAAAGTCCCGGCCAGGTCCCGGCCAGGTCCCAACAGGCTCCCAACAGCGCTTCAAGTGGCCTCCAAGAGAGCTCAACATGGTCCGAGACGGTCCAAGAGCGATCCAAGATGCCAGAGATGGCCTCCAGACAACCCAAACCGCCTTCAAGACGTCCCAAAAGGTCTCCAAGGGACCTCCCGAGCGGGCCCACAGAGGCAGAAACATATGATTTTCCTTAAGTTTTTGAGCGTTTTTTGGCGTTCTCGCCTTTTCGGACTACCGGCGCTCCAAGACGGCCCAAGAGGCTTCCAAGATCGCCCCAACACGGCCCAAGAGGCCTCCAAGAGCGCCCAAAACGGCCCCAGAGGGCCCCGAGACAGCCCCAGAGGCCTCCAAGATGGCCGAAGAGGCTCCCAAGACGGCTCCAAGAGCGGGCCCCGACGGGGGACCCGAACGGACATTTCGAGCTCTCCGCGCTCTCCGCGCAGAGAGGTCCCCTGGAGGCCCCAAGAGGCAGAGGCCCCAAAAGACCACCAAAAGGCCCCTGAGAGGTCCCCGTAACGCCCCAGGAGGTCCCAGAAATACCGCCAAGAGGCCCAAAAAGAGGTTTCAAGAGGCCTCCAAAGAAGCCACGAACGCACAAGCAAACGCCTGCGATGGCACAGGACGGGCCGGCGGAGTGAGCGAAGCCATGAAATAACCCATCCGGATTATCTGCCCATGTGCGGGAGCACGCTCTCTTCTGGCCGCAGCCCAGAGCGCCGCCGCCGTCGCCGTCGGACGCGTCCTGGGCGTCCGCGCGCGTCGGTGGCCCGGCCTGGCCAGGCTGCCTGCGCTTCAGCGCGATGTTGCTGCTGATCACGCTGCTGCTGATGATGCTGATGATGCTAGAACCAAGGATACTGATGATGCTGTTGTTGATGATGCTGATGATGCTGCTGCTGATGATGATGCTGATGCGGATGATGCTGATGTGGATGATGCTGATGTTGATGATGATGGTGAGGATGATGATGCTGATGCTGATGATGTCGAGGATGATGATGATGCTGATGATGAATATGATGATGCGGATGATCATAACGATGCTGCTGATGATGATGCTGACCATGATAAGCATAGGGATGAGGGATGATGATGAGGAGGACAACGATGAGAAGTGAGAGCAACAACAATGAGAGCAACAACAAGAGGCGGGGATTCATGATGAGGGGAAGACTATGTTGGAGGAACGCACGAGGGATAACCAAGAAGGTACGGTACTGCGGTGGTAGCTTCTCCCTCCTTCTTTCATCTCCCCGTTCCTCGTCGACGTCGCCGCCGCCGTCGTCGTCGTCGTCCCCGATGAGGGGCAGCAGACCTTCGAAGCGCCGAGGGACTCCGCCAAGGCGAGCGCGCTGGTGCCGTCGGCCGTCCTCGGGCACCCAGGACAGGAGGCAAACGGAGGGAGGAGAGGAGAAAAAAAGGGGCAGTAGTGGAGGGAGGCGGAGTTAAGAGAAGAATGAGGAAGATGATGATGATGAGGAGGAGGATGAGGAGGAGGAGGGGGAGGAAGAGGAGTAGGAGTAGGAATGGTAGTAGTAGTAGTAGTAGTAGTAGTAGTAGTAGTAGTAGTAGTAGTAGCACCAGTAGTAGTGGTGGTGGTAGTAGTAGTAGTAGTAATCGTAGTAGTAGTAGTAGTAGTAGTAGTAGTAGTAGTAGTAGTAGTAGTAGTAGTAGTAGTAGTAGTAGTAGTAGTAGTAGTAGTAGTAGTAGTAGTAGTAGTAGTAGTAGTAGTAGTAGTAGTAGTAGTAGTAGTAGTAGTAGTAGTAGTAGTAGTAGTAGTAGTAGTAGTAGTAGTAGTAGTAGTAGTAGTAGTAGTAGTAGTAGTAGTAGTAGTAGTAGTAGTAGTAGTAGTAGTAGTAGTAGTAGTAGTAGTAGTAGTAGTAGTAGTAGTAGTAGTAGTAGGAGTAGTCGTCGTCGTCGTCGTAGTAGTAGTAGTAGTAGTAGTAGTAGTAGTAGTAGTAGTAGTAGTCGTAGTAGTCGTAGTAGTCGTAGTA